GTAATTAGTTACTGATTACTTTATTCAAGTAACTTGACCAACACTGCCTTTAATACGTTTTAAAAGCCTTGGATGCTCATTTTATAGATACATTTGCAGCAGTTCAACAGGCACTTTGGTGAATTTGCCTCTGTCAAAACAACAGCCGCCATATTCACTGTGAGATGCAGAGATAACTCTACAGAATAAAGTCACATGGACAATCCCGTACCTGGCTCTTCCATGGTCCAAGCTTCACATTTCATTGGAATGCTGGCAGCAGATGGTAGACCAACACCAGCCATGTTACCAGCTGTGACCCTGAACTCGTAAAAAGTTCCCTCCTTCAGATGTTCCACCTAAAATAACGCGTGGCACAATCATCAAATAAATGAATAAAGTTGTAATAATAAAGTGAGTAAATGTAAATTAATCAAATTTAGCTTTACAAGAAAATCCAAATCTTATGTCTGATTACTCACAGTGCACATTCTTTCTGTGACAGCATTTAGGTTGACCTCCTTCCAGACTAAAGTGTCAGCGTCCCGCTTGTCAATGTAGTAAGCGTTAACCTTGGAGCCACCACAGTGTTTGGGACTCTTCCAGGCCACAGTTATGGAGGAACCATCAGAACTCAGCATGGTGATCCCAAAGGGAGAGCTGGGAGTTGCTGAATTACAAAGTTTCACATTTAATGAAGCTTCATATTTAAACTTTGTATGACATCATCTTACATGACGTCTTTTAAAGTTAAACATTTTTTAATCAATCTAGGAAACGATGACTGTGATCGGCTGCGTGTGAGCCTGTCATGCACTTTCTCACGCTTCGCTGAGCAGCTACTGCAAAGTTTTATCGTAAAGTTTTCAACTCTTGTGCTGAGTAACTGTCAGACTTTGAAGTGTTTTGTAGAGTCCTGTTAAAAATACGCCTCTGTGTGATCAAAACACAATAATGTAAAGTGAAAGGTGGATAAAGAGAAAGCTGTGGGTGAGTAAGGGGGGGGGCAAAAGTAAACACAGCTATTGAATACATACCATACTCAGCCCCCTTGCCTGCACAGAATAATGAAATGAATCACACTGAGCATCACGTTGGTTCAAGGACTCCGGTAATCTTAAGAAACACCATTTCTCTTAAATTATTACATTCTCCAATTCTCCTCTATTTTTTGAAAGAAATGTACATTTCTTTGAAAAAAACAACAGTTTCAAAGAGCGTTTTAACTTTTCAGAGGCAGCATATAAATCGCAATCATGAACTTGATGATACTCTTACCGAGCGCAGGCTCCACGGCAATGGGAGAGGACTCCTGTGACTCCTCGCTGAGGCCGAAGAGGTTGACGGCTTGGACGCGGAACACATAGGTCTCCCCCGGGATCAGGCCGTGCACCACAAACCTGCACGCACACACTCATTTTTTAAATCAAATACATATAAAACCTCTTGAAGTCTTTCCTCTTGTTTCTATATATTTCTTTTTTGTAAATATTATTTTTGGGGAGCATTTGTCTTTATTGAGCAGTGAAAGATGGACAGGAAAGTGGAGAGAGAGTGAGAGAGGGGAAGACACATAGCAAAGGGCCACAGCTCGGATTCAAAGCCTGCTCGCTTCACCTAAACCACTGCCCACATCGGATATTTCTACGTACATATTGTTATTCTGGCTAAACTATTTTTTTTGAGCTCCACTCACAAAAACCATCGTGAGTTTATCTTCAGATTTGAGAAAGTCGGCTAATATTGGGCTAATACAGCTAATACTGCCGAATAAAGTATAAAACGAGCTGGAAAATAGTTGAAATCATCATCATTTATCCATGACTCCACAACCTGCCTTTGCCTTACATTAAACCTGACACGTTGCTCAGGGACTCTCAGACTGAGCTCTCTGCGTGCTGTGGAGTTACTGCACTCCTGTGTAACACTCCTCTAGAGGAGACACTTTATTTATATTCATTAAATTCTTTTTTTCCTTCTTGTTCAAAAGGCTGAGAAGCAAAAACTCGTGTTTTGCCAAACTGATGTCATTTGAAACATCTGAATCACAGTAAGACCATCGTGTAACATTTTTGTCCCTCTTACCTGGTATGTTTGAAGGGTTTATGGTTGCATGCGAACCACTCCTTGGCTCCAACGACACGCCCGTCGATGTAATATCCCATGAGGTGTTTCAGGTGTTTGGGGGCCTCCCACTGCACAAACACAGATGACTTGGTGTTCCTAGTAGCAACAACAAGGCCTGGAGCAGAGGGGACGCCTGTGCGGCAAAGAAAAAACATATATACATGTAATATTAATTAATTACCAAAAATATACAAAGCTGAAAGTGTTAAAGTGGAAAAAAGGACAGAATGATTCCACCACTGATGACCTCAGACATCAAACCAGTTGTAAATATTTTTTTCTGTATTAAACAACATTTTATTCAAATGACTAAATAATGTATCAGTTACTAACAATTTACCTTCTTACAGAACAGAAATCATGACAATTAGCTGTAAATAATACTCACTGAAGCTTTGACTTCCACCTACTTGTCTGCAGGTTACTGCTACTCAAAAAACATGCATGCATTCGATATTTGTGCTGTGTTCCTGTATATTGTGTGCACAAACACAGTGATTAAACACAGCACAGAGGACTTGTTTTAAAGTTCCCATGGAATGGCTTTGCCATGCCTTTTTGCAGAACAGGATGTTTAAGCAGAACGCTGTGACAGAGGAGCGTTTCCGGGATTTAATTTGAATTTAGGCACGAGAGCTCAGAATAATCCCATTTTCCTTTATCAACTTCTCGTTACCCTGTAATATAACAGCCTACTAAGCCATCCCCAAGTGCTCCAGTTCATCACTTATAGTGAGAACAAACACACACAGACCAGAGAGTGAAAGAGTGAACTTACAGCAGTGTGAAAAAAGTGCTTTTAAAGTGTGTTTGATATTTTTATGTACATACCAATTGGAAGTTCAGTACCTGCAAAACACAGTCAATCACTTTTGAAATAAACTGTATTTGGGCTTTTCATGCATTTGTTTTTGTGGACACATTTACATGTATGCACTAAAACACTTTGCTTAAGGTAGACAAACACACAAAAAAAGTTGTTTTAGTGACCTTCCCATCTGGACCTTTAATATCTATAATTCGAATAAATTACAAAATTTGACGATTCAGCATTTCTTCACAGGTTTTTGTGTGCATTGTGCTTTGCTGGATATATAATCACGTGTCTTTAAGTCTGCACTGATCCTGGCTCTTACCATCTTCATCAACCTTTTGGATGGGCTCAGAGGGCGCAGAGGCCTCGCTGGAGCCATACATGTTGACCGAATACACTCGGAACTGGTACTTTTTCCCGTCTTGCAAATCAAAAACTGGGTAACGAGGGGAGTGCAGTTTGACTGTTGTGTTGATCCGCTGCCAGTCTCCAGTGCCTGCTAAGCACTGTGTGGGAAAGTCAGGGAGGGGGGGAAATGACAAGGTATAGCCATATGTGATGTGGCACAGACAAAAAGAGCAGCTTTTATACTGTGTTTTACAAAGTTAAATCTCACTTTTATTAAATTAATTAAATAATTTAAGATATGAGAATCATAAATAACAAAGTGTATGTTTGTGTGCGCCAAAAGGGTTAAAAATAAAATCAATCTTTGTGTGAATTCTGCTATTGACATGTAACTGAACCGCGGGCAATGCTAAACATGATGAAAACATTCTCTCACTTTTTTGGGAAATATAATAAACATATTGTTTAAATGTCAACATTTTTAGCAAGACTGTTTACAACTTGACTGGCTTAATATGTGGCATTAAAAATACTATAAAAAACACAATACATCAGATACAATATGTAATACATAAGATACATAAGACAACTTGAAATCTAGCATCTCAATATATAGCTACTATCACACAAATTTATATTACATTTGAACTTCTTGTATAAGCATTCACTATGGCTACTATATGAATTTGTTTGCAATATATTATAAGCTCACAGCTATGTTTACATCCTTGCGATTATATGCATTAAAACATGTCATGTGACTCTAAACTGGTTACTGGTGAAAAATGTATCAAACTGAAATCTGGAGATATGCTAGTGTAGAGTTCTCTGTGTGAAATTTAAAGAAAAGAAAAGAAACATGTAATTTTGGGGTATTGAAGTTTCACGCAACCCAAACGTAATACAGCTTCATTTGTGTGTAGTGCTGCCATTTAAGTAAAACTTGAGAGGACATTTAAATGCGACTGTCTTGTTTATCCCTCAGCTACAGTACCAAGGTTAAATCGGCTAAACTGAGAGCAACTGATGGGCAAAAGTGAAGCAGCACACACCTTCTCGATGACGTACCACAGTGGAGCTCGTCCACGGGGGCTAGGAGGCTTCCAGCTCAGCACGACATACGATTTGAAAATTTCGGATGCATGCACATCTGTGGGTTCACCTGGAATAGTTACGTAGCCTAGATTGGGAGTGAACAGTGTTGAGGCATAACGTACACAGAACAGCAGCCACTGCAGAAGTCCCACATTATTCACTTTTTGTACTCAGGTTTTTATCTGTGGCTACAATGTAGCTGCCATCACCAGTGTGTGAATGTGTGTGTGAATGCGTGGATGACTGAATGTAGTGTAAAGCTGGGCAATCGTGGAAGAGTTGGGAGTTCGCCTTGTAATCGGAAGGTTGCCGGTTCGAGCCCCGGCTTGGACAGTCTCGGTCGTTGTGTCCTTGGGCAAGACACTTCACCCGTTGCCTACTGGTGGTGGTCAGAGGGCCCAGCAGCCGCCACCCTGTCAGTGCGCCCCAAGGTGGCTGTGGCTACAATGTAGCTGCCATCACCAGTGTGTGAATGACTGGATGTGTAAAGCGCTATACAAATACAGGCCATTTACAGTGTCTTTTACAATGCTTCTAATGTTACTGTTGAGCTTGCTTTCAAAGGCAGAGAGGAGATTAAATATTCACCACTATATGGACTTCAATAACACATTTTCATAGAATTGTACTTATAAGTGATGAAAACAAACACAACTAAGTCCTGCCTTTTTCTCAAAGCTTGTTAAATTCTAAAAGTACTGATCAGCAGGACAATAACATTGGTGGAATTTTATTAAAGATTAAATAATTATTTTTGGTAGCATTCAACAATAATTACATATCCAAATGCTACACTGGAGCTGCCACGGCCTCGTATGTGGTTTGGTGGCTCAATGCTCACAAAACAAACAATATTTTAGTTTTGTTTAACTACAAGTTTCATATACAGCAGTTAGCCATTAGATAAACCAGAACATGGACAAAACCCCCTGATATCATATTTCAGATTAAAAAACATAGAAATATGAACTAAAAGGACATATCAAAGTTAAAGTTAACAGTGAAATGTGGGACTTCTACAATAGCCTTGATTGTGATATTATACAAATATGTAATATTTTTGATATTTTCTATTAGTTTATAAAATTAGTTTTCATCTGTTATAAGTTTTTGTTAAAGTAGTATATTATATTGAGTGGACACAATTTAAAGAGAAAAACGTTTCAGTTAAAGTGTGAATGGAAAAAGTTCGATTAGATCAAAGACTGCACCACAAAAGTTAAGATGGGAAGGCTCTGGAAAACAGTTTTCCTGTGTTGTTTAAAAAAAACCTTGTGAGAAAATGACAGATTAGTTCTAAGATCAGCATTAAAATGTTTTTCCTTCTCATGTTTCCTTCGTTGAAATACGAATGTAAAGGTCAGAATTCAAATGCCACACCTTAAGATGAAAACATATTCCTGTAATAGTAACTAATTGAATCATGCAGCACTCATTTGTTACTGGAATAATGATCATGTCCAATAAACAGGTATAAATGGAAAGAAAATTCACTGACAGTGGAACAGAAAACAGAACAGCAAACAAACGTCAGTGAGAGTTTGATCAGGGAAGATGCCTTTTTAAGCAAACATCCCCATAAAATGTAAAATGTTCTCACGATGGTGCTGCTGGGGTTTGGAAAGAGTGACAGATGTTAGTATTTAGTGAGATTGTGAGGTGGTGGCTTAAAGATAGGGGAAAGAAAAACTGTGAAACCAGACGAGTGTGTAACCACTATACCTTCCAGGTCATCATCCTTTATCACTATGTCGTATTTCCCTTCAATTTTAATCACTGTTGCAGGAAATGACAACAGATCGGTCAGAAAACGCTGGCATCCTGCTGTCCTGTATTTTGTATTTACCTTCATCTGTACCTTGCAGTCTCTCACTCTCTGCAGCGTCCAGGGCCGTCACTTTGTCTGACTTGCGTGAGGACCTGCTGATGCCACTGCTGTTCACGGCTCTGACCCGGAAGTAGTAGGAGTGGCCAACCCTTAAGCCATGTACTGGGTATTTGCAGATCTTCACTGGGGCGTCGTTGCACTGCACCCAAGTGTCAGTGCCAGCTTCACACCTGTGAAATGGATCATTTACGGCAAATAAACTCTCCATTATCAGGAATTTAATCTCTTTTTATAAGAGAGTACTTCACATGACATGTTATATTTGTTATGAGGCAATTTTGACAAGCTGAGAAGTTAAAGTATCCTAATAAACTGATGAGAAGGGCTGCACTTGCAAGTATTTTTGTTTAAAGAAAACTGCAGTCCAGACCTTTCACCAGTTGAAAACATTTGGTGCATCATGAAATGAAAAAGATGACATAGAACAGCGGTCCCCAACCCCCGGGCCTCGGACCGGTACCGGTCCGTGAGTCGTTTGGTACCGGGCCGCGAGAGTTGA